TGCACGCCTCTGGGGTGCGTCCACATATGGTGAATGCGAATGCTGTCACAGAGTTGGTTTGGTGCTCAACTTACACAAGATTTGTATGAATAATAATACTAAAAGCACGCGGGCGGCTCACGAGTGGCTCGCGAGCTGCGCATTCGTCAGATGTGGAGGCACCTTAATAACTATAATCTCAGTACACCTGACGAACTGTAATTAACATTTTCTCTAGCCAAAGAAAACTTCCATATGTTTTATTATCGAGGAGTTTACGACTTGAACCTTCTGTTGCTTGATGTTTTATGTTCTCGTTAAACAATCTTTTGTTTGCCAGCTAAGATGATGCGTGTTAATAGGCTGGGCTACGTCATTTAGCTAAATTGTATCAACATGCCTGACTACGCGACTGGTGAAGTCGAGCGCCTGAAACATTACTAAACTATGCCTGGCGCCTGGCGTACAGAAAGACAATGAAGGCTCATATAATTATAATGTGCTAGAGCTCCTTAAAGGTTAACGCAGATTCTGTAAGAAGAATACTTAGTTATTAATTTAGTTTATAGTTTATCACAAAACATATACCTTCGTGACATTACAGTAAATGTTATTAAAAAAATGGATACCTACGTAAGTTGAGATGGTCTTGGAAAATGACTGTAAATTGCTAGTGTTCTTTAATTTATTTATTCATTCAATTTATTTCGGTTCAACCTTAGGTAGGCATTTATGTTGGTATTTTTAAAGTCTAATTATGGAAGAACCCCCGAGGTCATAAAGACTAACCTCTATGATTATGAGTTAACATCTAAATACAGTGGGTACACAAACAATATTCAGTTCGGTAATATTACAAATATTTTGTTACATTTTTAGTTAAGTTTAAATGGTAGGAAGGGGTTTTTGCCCAATCAAGTATGTCCAAATGTAAGTGTGAGAGAGCCATGCTTCGGCACGAATGGGCCGGTTCGACCGGAGTGATGCCACGACCTCACAGAATACCGACGTGAAACACGACGCTTGCATTGTTTCGTCGCGTGAGTATGGTTACTGAAGGCCCAATCATCCCCTCCCCCCATCTCCCCAATCGCCGAATTCCTAATAATCCTCAAATTCCTAACCCCAAAAGGCAAGTAGCAACTTGTAACGCCTCTGATGTTCCGAAAGATCCTTCTGCTCGTTTACCGGCTTATATGATAAAAAAATTACAGCAGCTGTGAAATATTGAACGGCCAATGGCGTGACAATAACTAATTCCTTATTGGACGAAGACGAGAGGTTCACACTAGCCCCATAGGGTGAGCTAAAATACGATAGGCTCCATTAAAGTCGTTGGCTTCAGAAAATAGTTCATTTTATAATAATATTACATAATCAGCCAGAAGATGTTCTTTACAATTCCATCATGTTAATTGACCACCAGTCACTTGCTTCCATTGTTTACCTTTGCTTTGACGATGTCGTCGACCAAATAAACGAGACGCCAACTATTTCGTTTCTTTAGTAAAGTGTTACATTACACACATGTGTCATCGCTTCATACACCAAAACAAACATTTATGTATTTATTTATTTGTTTTACTGTAAACGTTGTTATGTAGTGCTATAATAGAGGTGTAGTGAGGGAGTCGCACGGTGCGGCACGATGCGGTGCGGTGTGACAACCGACGCGATGATTAATGAGCGCATTCTGAACCCACTTGAGCTTTATCGCTTCTAGGCTAGGAGCTCGTTACATGTGTGAAATGTTATAAGAACTGGTTGGTAAAACCGAGCATTTATAATATGATTCAACATAACATAAACATAATAAATTATTGTGTTTTCGGCTTACTCACGTAATTATTTGACGAGGAACTCGACTAGTTTCAAGACATGCTAGAGGCTCATATTCATGAGCAGCATTTTGCAATCCGCGATACGGCGAGCTGTTACTGTTGTTGTAGCAGCGCGACAGTTAGCAGTAAGAGCTTGAAACTAGTCGAGTTCCTCGTCAAATAATTATGTGAGTAAGCCGAAAACACAATAATTTATATAGTATGTCTCACAAAAGTTACAATACAAACATAAACATAGAGGTGCACATTATGGCACTTAATGTCACAATGTAACACCCATTTTTCACTATTTATGTTATGAATCCCATGTAATTGGCGGTGCGCCTATTGCCACATGTCACAATTCCAGACTCCATGCTACTACTGAGATTTTTATAAAAAAACCTATACTTTGGCTGACCCAGGAATCGAACCCGAAACCCCTTGCCTGCAGTCGCACTTGCAACCACTGGCCCAACGAGACAGTCACATAATTCAATAGGTTAAGATGGCAAATAAGTCAGTAGACCATTCAATCGTCTACTACTTTCACAAATACGTCGCGCACAACATCTGTCAGTATATTTACGTTTCTCTTGTACAAGTGTAAAATTTGATTTCAGCAAATGTTCGAGTAAGCGGACTGTCAGTGACATCAAACTATTGTGAGCTTTGTTTGACCAGGCAGCGCGACACACACTTGTATTCGACGACAATTTAGTACTACATGTTATACTGCTTGAGAAAATCTGTATTAGCTTATAGCTTATACATACAAGGTATAGTTTTGTTGCCGTGTCATTTCTCGGGGGCATGTCACAGAAGTCATAAAGGTTCAAAGTTAGACAAAGTTTCAGGCCAATAGTTAAAAATACGGCTATAATAAATCGTTTAAGTTCGACATTATTACAGAATAAGCGACAGCAATATTCCTTATTGGAGTTTTATGGAATTAGGAATAATATCAATTACGTGTTTGAGTTTGTGTGTGTTAAGACGCGTTCTAAAGCTAATAACAAGACGGCGACGTGTAGTTCGCACTTACGGATTTCCGTAATTTACAGAGAAATGAAAAATATTTATTATTAACCTACAATTTTTTTATTGATTCGGACTCAGAATCGCTAGCCGAGTCATCTCCTAGAAAATGACGCGGCTTTAAAACAACACCTTGTATATGTGTTTGGCCTACAGACATAAGAGAGAATAATTACCCAGTTTATGACTTAAATCCTACTTAATTATATAATAAATGTGAAAGTTTGTCTGTGTTTTGTGATTCCTTCACATCAATACGGTTGAAGGGATCGAGATTAAATTTAGAAAACTTTCGTGAAAGGTCTGAAATAACACATAGGACCCTTTACTTTTGTCTCGCCAGAGTGTGCGATGCCGCTGGCAGAAGTTAGTATTATAAAAAGCGAGCCTATAAGCGTGACTTGTATATGAAGGAACGAAGCTCGACACTATTAGGAAATAAGAATAACAATCTTTATCTTCTTTTCTTTCATACACAAGTTCTTATGTCAAGTTATTTAGGGTCAGTGCGTACATTTGCCCTCGTCATCCATTATCATATATCGGTTCATATGTCTTCCTTTTCTCCTGTCCACATTTAAAGATTAAGGCAATTTTATTAAAATAATTAATTACTTGAAACAAAACAATGAATAGTTTAAAAAAAACACATATTAAAATGACTCTAAATATATTGTCATCTCAAATACCATGTTGTAGGAATCTGTCACGAGCTCTTTGACTACACCAGTGTTGGGATCTCTCCCGCCGTACATTATTTATTCACTCCACTACAACGCCTATCACAACGAACTCTAGACTTCACTCTAAGCACTATAATAAGATTAAATATGTAGTCTCATCAGCCAGGCTAAGACATGTTGTAAAACTTAGTAAGACTTGCATGATAAGAAAACTTTGATTAATATTAAAAACGATAAGTAACGGCGTCGTATGATTTTTGGCGCCATCTTTATATTCTTAAAGATTGTTTTTCACTAAAACTAGATTATTTAGTCCCGTTTTCTCCCGTTCCCGTAGGATTTTCAGGATTTTTTTGTCGTAAGAACCTTCTCCTGACAATAACAAACACATCAAAAAAAAAGATCAGCGAAATCGGTCTAGCCGTGCTCAAGTTATGGCGTGACAACAGGAAACAGGATTCATTTTTATGTATATAGATTTTATATATTTTTTTAACCATGGCAAATGTAGACAGGCTTTTCTTCAGAAATTTATGACAAAACATAGAGGAAAATAGAAAAAATATCTCCTAAAAATGGCAACTGCATCCATACTGGTCAATGGAAGTTATCCAAAATAGAGGATGATGAATGTGTTGCTGTAGGTAGGTGCTATAGGAACACTAGTAAATTAGTAAAGCTGTTAAATGGTCTTACAGCGAGCCTAGCCAGTTGAACAATTGGGCTCGCTGCCATCGCAGCGGTAAGTCCCCTCTTTGAGGAGTGGCTTGAGAGACGCTACGGCGTCCTCACCTACCGCCTGACGCAGGTCCTCACCGGACATGGCAGTTTCGGGAGGTACCTGTGTCTGATGGGGCGGGAGGAAACGCCCGGGTGTCATCACTGCGAGGACCGCCCTGAGGACACGGTGGAACACACAGTGGGAGAATGCCCTTCGTGGGCTGAGCACCGCCGTGTCCTCAGGGAAGTGATCGGCGATGGCGACCTCTCGCGTCCGGGCCTAGTGCGGGCCATGATGCGGAGCGAGGGGGACTGGGATGCCGTCTCCTCCTTTTGCGAAGCAGTCATGCTAGCTAAGGAGGAGGCGGGACGCGTGAGGCAGCGAAGCGCTGCCTCCTCGCAACCCAGCCATCGCGAAGGACACACCGGGCGTCGGGGATCGCGGGACGATCTCCGGCCACCGTAAGCGCGGGCCTGCGGACGGCGAGCATGGGTGGCTCCCCGTCCGACCAGAAACAGACCCGAGCGTACGGCGCGTCGCGTTCCGCGCGCGCCTCAAAGAGCCATCAGACCACCACAGATGGGGCCCAATAGGGCCGATGCCGATTCGGAGTCGCGGAGAACCTAACGGGTAACCGGGGCTCCGGCTCGACGTGCAGGAGAAGGAACGGGGTGGTTTTTAGTCAGTAAGAGTCTGACACTCCCTCCCGCCTCACCCAGGCGGGGGCAGTCATTCGATGATTTTCCCCCCTTAAAAAAAAAAAAAAAAAAGCCAGTTGAACATTAGTCGATTTTGTCTGGACACCCGACCTGACAAGTGTCAATAAAGTTCATTAACCTTAACTATAGTTCAGAGAATACCATTATTGAGGGAAATCACCGTATTTCACTTGCGGGCAAGATGCGTCGCCCACACCTCAGCTCCATGTCATCGCGGCCCTTGTTCAGTGTGCAAATGATGGATGTGTTCGTTTCATCACGTTTATAATGCTCATTAGCCAAAATGAACAAAAACAACAAGTAGGCAGCCTCACCTTCGTTTATAGAATACTGATTGCGGACAGTACTTTCCCGTACGTTTTTGTGTGAAAATAGTTACGACGCGCAGCAGTCACGTCGGCCGCGCCTCGCCGCCCCACATACGTAACTAACAGATTCTGGTTGTACCGCTCGCCTCCTGTCACTGGTGGTCCAGTCGCTCAGCGCCAGCGCCAGTGCATTGAGTAACGTCGTAAGTATACGAGTAGTTTTTCCGAGTTGATAAGTTGTGTGGTGTCTCTGACTTACGTAACTGCCTGCATACCATTAGCTGTTTTAGATTCTAATAATTATGACCCGTTGGTGATATTGAGGTAAAGTGACGAAATATTTACAAACAAAATTGTCATCTCTTTAGTTATTTTCAAATCTGTTAGATATGCTGGCGTCTCTGTTGAGGTTGGTTCCTCGGAGCAGCCAGCCCTGGCCGGGGCGCGCGGGCTGTTGGCCGAGCGGCTCGTCCCACGCGGCGGCCGCCTGCAGCAGCAGCATGCGGCGCGGCCGCGGGCTCGTGTTGCTCGGGCTGCCGTGCACCAGCAGGTACGAGAACACCACCACGTCACCACGCTCGCACACCACCGGCGTCGCTCCTTCAAACGGGAACTTTGTCTGAAACACATAATTGTTATTGAGAGCGTTTTTTTTTCTCGCCAGATGGCACTTATTGAACACGAGGTCGGCCAGTCAAATAGAGATTTAGTTAGTGTCAACATAATAGAATATTGATTTTTTTACATTTAGAATGATTGGATTAACCTACTTCGCTCACAAAAGCGCCATCTCGTGATCAAAAAATAGTAACCATTCTACATACTTCTCTATTACTTCATGAACTTAACGTAATATCACGTGAATTGAATAAGTTTCTAGATACTAAAATGCCGAGAGTTTCATTTACACAAAGAAGTTACTGAATGTCTCGTAATACTTAGCGCATTACTTGATCAACGTAATGGAAGTTTGACTTGCTGGCGCCGACGTCTTCCTGGGGGCCTAGTCTGTGCGAGCCCGGGTACACGAACAGGCCCCCGTTGTCGGGCCCCGCGGCGTCTAGGTGCAGGAAGGCAGCTACCATGGAGTCGTGCTTGTATGGGAAGTAGTGATAGTCCTGCGCACATGTTTTTTAAACATAAAAAAAAAAAATGTAGAGGGTATTAGAGTTGTACTCCACTTTGAAATTGAGTACATAATGACACAAAGTAAGGTTACATCTGCACTAAACAAATAGTACCCTATGACGTGTGTATTGCTGTGACGGTGTTTGTGTATTAAGTGTGGGAGAGCCATGCTTCGGCACGAATGGGCCGGCTCGACCGGAGTGATACCAGGGTCTCACAGAAAATCGACGTGAAGCAACGCTTGCGTTGTGTTTCGTCGTATGAGTGAGGTTACCTTCCCCTTCCCCAATCTCCCCAATCCCTGAATCCCCAACGATCCTCAAACTCCTAATCCCCCAAAATGCCGGTAACGCACATGTAACGTCCCTGGTGTTCCAGGTGTCCATGGGCGACGCCGATTGCTTACCATCGGGTGATCCATCTGCACGTTTACGCATAAAAAAAAATATGATGAATTGAAAAGCAAGAAAAAGTAACATACCTGATGCATAGGATACGCGGCGCCCTTCTCGGGAGGTTTCAAGTGGGCCTTGGTGTGATGCAGGATGATGTCGCTGGTTTCCATGATATCCTCCAGCGCGTCTAACAGGTCCTTGTTGAACAGGAATGTATTGAACACTGCGTGGTGGTACTGCAGGTTATGGATCCCTTTCACCTGGACACAGTTAGAGATGTACCTACTTAAATTATTTTTAGGTAGCAACAGCAACGCAAAAGAACAATGGCAGCCACCCATATATTAATTTAGCTGAGATTAAACTCTTGCGTCTTTAAATGAAAAATATATTGTTAAACTCGGCGTCAACTTCTGAATTAGTTGGTGCAAGAATGTTTGTTCGGGAAAGCCGGAATTAATAGAAATTCAGTCGTGAACTTTTGTAGGTTATGTCATTGGTAATTTCAATTCGAGGAAGTTAAAAGAGCAATATTGCATTAATATTTTCCTTACCCAGTTATTTTAGTATGCAATGCATTGTAAAAGGTATAAATACGTTTGGTAGGCCTTACCTTAGGTATAATTGCTACATGATTGGACAATAGGACTGAGAATGCCAGTCACCGTCTGCATTGTTTTAGGCATTAGGATTATAATAGTCTTCTGGAATTTTATAAATACTTACTTGCTAAAATTCAGATAAATAGTCTTTTTGCCCGTCATTAATTGAAAGTAATTCATTATTTTATTTTTACATTGCAATATTTTTACTACCCTGTAGAGAACACTTCCACTTAGAAATAAACAGTACTAGCGGCCCGGTACGTGCTTCGCTACGTATAAAGTGAAATAAAATAAACAAATCGGAACATCAAATTCATTTATTTAATCAAAAAAATATTTTATTTAAAATCGAAATCAATTGCTAGCTATTTACAACACACTTAATCCAAGGAACAGCAGTCGATGGGCATTCAGGCATTTTCAAAACAGATGTTTCAAATTTATGTTTTTAACGACAACATCAAATAACTCAGGATCAACAGTTTGATCAGGAATTTCACCTGATATAACGTTATCGCTTTGATCTGGAGTTATTTTATTTACCAGCCAAATTAATATATGTGCGTGCGGCAATCCCCTTTTTTGCCATTCGATGGAGTACATATGGCAACGCACCTCTCCAAATACACGTAATTTCACAATTAAATCCATAAGTGCTTTCAATTTTCGCCGAAAAACACGTGCTGTAATGTCATGACGATCAGTTGTCGACTGGCCTTCAAATAAATTGTTCTTGATGTCATCCCACTGCGGATTACATGTAAATGTAATGAACAGATCCGGTCGA